TTTTCCGACTGTTATTCAATTGAGGCTGGAGTTCCTCAAGGCAGCGTCTTGGGTTCCATCCTTTACATTATCTATACCGCTGACATTCCCGTCCATCCCGATACACTCCTGGCAACTTTCGCTGATGACACTGCGATCCTATCTTCTAACTCAGATCCTGAAACAGCGTCCAGAAACCTGCAACGGCACCTATCCTTGATTGAACACTAGTGCAAGAAATGGCGCATCAAAGTCAATGAATCCAAATGTAAACATATAACCTTCTGTAGAACTGTGGGGGACAACCAAATTTTCTAACATCAAACGCATTCAATCCTTCCAGTCCAAAGTCCTCCGTACAATAGTCGATGCTCCCTTCTATGTCTCTAATAAAACCCTGCACAATGACCTTAATATTCCATTTATTCTTGATCTTATCCCAGACAAATTCTCCAAATTTCATCAGAACCTTACCCATCACCCTAATCTCGTAGCACAATCTCTATCTAGCACCACTCATCCCTACAATCCTCCTCGCAGGCTGAAACGGCAGTGGCCCCGTGACCTTTTGTAACATGTATATACTGGAGTTCTAGCAATGGCCAGATTCTCCACTCAAGTCATGAGTGTCCGTGGTTGTAGCGCCCTTACTCAATCTCCGCTGGCTTTCAATGCCAGTGAAATGGTTGAGGAAGAAGCGCAGGGATCTCCTGAAGCCTTGCTTTCCCTCCACGTGTGGGAGGATAAGTATGGTTCGGAGTTTCTATGGCCGACTGTAAATAGTGTAATAGGTATGCCTGCGTCTAAGATGTTTATTTTCGTTACTTTTTTTTTTTTTCTCACTATGATATTTTATTTTGTTCTTTATATTATTTGTTTTGTACCTTATATTATTTGAAGTTAGCTTATTTTTTTTCATTATTTTTTTTTTTATTTGTAAATATGGTGTGAATGTGCTCTCAGAACTCTATTATAAATGTCCTTTATTGAGACAGATTGTAATATTTATCAATAAACAAAAAAAAAAAAAGAAAGAAAAAAAAATAGTTCTAAGGAACATTTTTACAATGAAGTTTTAGGTTTATGGTAAATTTTTAACTTTTATTCATTTAAAAAAAGTTACAACAGATTCTAACTTGTTAATTTTATTGTAAACTGTTTACAAAAAAATTGAGCTAAGTTTACAATAAAAATTTATCCCGGATGAATTATTTGATTAGATTGTGTCGTACGAAATTAAGATAACTTTTGCATAAAAGTTTCGTACAACTTTTACTTCAAAAGTTGCTAGGGAAAAGTTCTATTTTCAAAATAACATAAAAAAGTTAGATATTTCGGTCATACCGAAACTGATTAACAATGAAAGTTAAAATTTCATTATTTTTAGAGTTTATTTACCCATGATTAGATCCAACCCTAGTCTTTTTGTGGTTTCTTGACAACTTTTTGGGAATTGGACAATGGAGAAGTCGCTGAAAGAGAGGATTGGAGAGGCGTTGCGGAGGCGAATGCCCTACAAGGCACAGAATTGTATTATTGTAGATCCCAGCACTAGCGGATCCAGGATTTAATTTTAGGGGAGGGAGGGGCTTCAGCCCAAAAGCATTTTTTCCATAAAAATAACGTTAATAACTTTGGGAAAAAAGAAAGAAACTAACTACCTATATGAAATAGTGTTTAAGTGATTCCTAAAGTCCTTTTAATGTAATTACAGTAACAATAATACATTAAGAGATTATTTTATTTTCCTCCCTAAACTAACTTTAAGACAATACGGGAGTTTGCAGCAGTGAGTTGATACACAACATCAAGAGATAATTTTTTAATAGTTTGTTCCATAAAACATGGTTATATTCTAACATTTTGGGGAGGGAGCTTCAGCCCGAAAGCACTCCTCCCTCCCCCGAAGATACGCCCGTGGACCCCATCCACAAATCTCGTATTTGTTGTATTGTTGCAGAATTCAAGTCTTGGTAAATATAATAATGAATATACATTTCTGAAAATTACAGAAAAAAATATTCATAAGAAGATGTAAATAATTCGACTTTGATTTCAAACTATGGTTGGAAGATTATCATGCCAGAGCCGCTTCTTTCCAAAATGGCGGCTGATTGAAGAATATTAAGCCAGTAACTAGGGGATCACAATGGAAGAAATATTGCGAAAAATATGGTAAAAGTTGTTATTTCCACGAGTAAAAATGTGTTCGAACATCTAAAAAACAAAACTTCTGATGTGTGACACTAATAGAAAAATGTTTGCACCCAAAAACGCAAATTTTTTCCGATGTATTTTTCAATTTTCATCTATAACTTCTGAATGGTGAATTTAAGCTAAAAACTTACTCTTTAAGGAATTAAAAGGGTGTACACAAAAAAAAAAATACTGTTTTATCAAATTCAAGATTTCAAAGGACTGTAAATATTTTAATACTTACCAATACTTAATAACCCATTTAGACTTCTTCAAAAAAAGTCTGAATTTAGTTATTTGTTTCAAAGAAGAAACATGACAGTGTCTAACGAAATTCTCGTAATTTTAAGGCATTACTGGAAAAACAAATTCACAGCCGCTGAAGCAACTATTGAAATTATTAAAAATGAAGGAGGTGTCGCTGACCAGCACACTGTGGGGCGTTGGTTTGAAAAATTTAGGACGTTGTCAAGGAAGAAAGGCTCCAGGCGACTTTTAATAGATATTGATGAGGTTCTGCAGGAAGCTGTTAAGTCAAATCCATCCACAAGTAGTCCCAAACTTGCAAGAGGGGTTGGTGTGTTAAAAGACACTGTTAGTCATCATCTACTCACAACAGGTGAAAAAGAGCTGGTCCCTCATGAACCTACTCCTCAGCAATTAGCTAAGAGGTTAAATATTTGTGAAAATTTATTGGAAAAACCTTTCCTAAAAAACACCTTCCTCATCCACCATATAGTCCAGACCAGGACACCATCGTATTACTACTTATTTAGATCCATGGACAATTTTCTTCAATGGAAAAAATTTGATAATTTTGCGATAGTTGAAATTGCTGTACAAGAGTTCTTTGACAACCATCCCAAAGAATGTTATCAGCATGGGATTGGGAAACTGGCTAATGACAGTAGATAACAATGGACTATACTTTGAGTATTAATTGTATTATCAAAGAAATAATAATTTAAATATTTGGTTGAAAAATGGTCCTTTTTTTTATTTACCCTATTAAATAACGTTAAATTGTGTCGAATAAATACTTAAACTTAATGATTTATTTAAGTGGTATGGTCGAAAACCACAGTCAACCAAATCTGATTGTTACCAAATTTATCATAAATTCAGGCAAATTACTAAAAATGACTCTGCAGTGAAATGCGGCACAATCTCGATTCAGGATTCGTTATTTCTTCATCAAGTTAAGTTCTTTTTCTTCTTTCGGTATCTCGCTTATTAAAATCCTCCACTGCAAAGAGATGGAAGAGGTCTATACTTAGTGTTTCCCGAAATCCAAGATTAGTAAAAAAAATCAATTTTTTGAATAAAAATTAAGGCAAAATAGTCACTAATACTTGAAAATTTTAGTTACTATATGTGAAGAATTAGGATAACCAACATAATTTTGCATTTAACTCTTCTAACTTTTCATTCGTGCTTAGTTAGGTTTCTCCTGTCTAAAAAATTACAGTAATAGTAATAAGTTAATAGATAATTGCAAGACTGTTGCACAAGACCAAGATCAAGACTGAGTGCACAAGACCAAAACTCTCCTTGGTTTCGCATTCGGGCAACACTACCTATACTGCAGTACTGGCTTTAGACAGCGCTCTCCCTCCCCAAACAATGACATCGTCTTCCTTCCAAAAAAAAAAAAATTAATGAAATTTATTTCTTAAGCTGTTTTATATTACGTAATACATGAATTTGATTTCATTCAATATTTCTCTAATACAGTTTCTTTTTTGGTAGGCTAAAATTAATTACTTTAATACGTTTTGTAATTCTTTTTTTTTTTTATTTCTAACAAGTGGCAAGCTTAAGCCCTGAAGATCGGTAGGCGCCTCCAACGATCACCCGTCCAGTTCAGCGCCCGTGGGCAATTGCCCCACCCTATGGCCGGCACTGCTATACTGCATGCAGCACCCTAAACAAGAATAATTCAGTAGAATAAAAATCCACTGTTGAAATATTTAAAATCACACTGCCTTCATAACTAAATACAAGCCATCGGGAGACTAACAATTTCGGATGGAATTACTACATTAACTACTAAGTTACCTACAACAAAAATGTTGGTACTCATTGAATGCGAAATCAGATGCTCTACCACTTTTATGCTGATTTTTTTTCTCATTTAGGTCATTTTCAAGCTGAAAGAGAGAATTGGAGAGGCGTTGTTGCGGAGGCGAAGGCCCTACAAGGGCTGTAGACCCCTGGAATAGTATTATTGTAGATCCCACCACTAGCGGATCCAGGATTTAATTTTGGGAGGTTTTTACTTTCAGTCAGAAAGCTCTTTTTTTCTTAAAATAATTGTATTATCCATAGCAATGGCTGTATTCAGTATTTCAGAAACTAAAGACGGAATAATTTTAGAAAAAAAAACTAAATCTATATGTGAAGAGATAGGCGTAGCCACTTTTCACGTTTTAATACCTAATAAATTATGTCCCTTCATCTTAAGCACAAATACATTACATTACTAACAGAGTTAATACTAACATTTTTTATATTTTTAGGTTATTCATTCTGTTGGATTATTGGTATTGTAAAAATATATAAATGCACACAGTCAAATACTCACACAGACACAATTTTACAAAACTTATTTATTTCGATTCAGAGGACCTTAATATGTCTATTTCTATTGAAACCTCAGATTCAAAATTTACATTATCACAATACTTTTCCTAACTATACATTTCATTTATCTGTATGTGCATCTGTAATGCATTTATCTATTGATGGGTTCAATAAAATAAAAAACTTACACAATTTAAAAATTTAAAACTTATAATTTAATTTATCATAATATAATACATGATTTCAAAAAAATATGATACAAAATAAAAAATTATACATCAAACAACAACATTCTGTTGTTTCTTTGAAATGTACTCCTCATACTGTTCTGGAATACTTTTAAAAACTTTAATTTTGGACCTCAACTGATTTTTTGTATACTGAAAGATATTCAATTTTCTATCTTTTGCCATAGCCTGAAAAACAACAAATAATTTATATTAAACTATAAAACATATACATATTCGTAAATTATTCAATATAACAAATTATTTAAATAGAAATAATAGAAAAATTGAGTTGGAAAAATGGACCCATCCATTGGAATAAAAGTTATAATATCTAAGGATAATTATCCATCGCAATGAATGTACTTTGTATTCAGTATTTCAGAAACTAAAGACAGAATAATTTTAGAAAAAAAAAACTAAATCTAAATGTGAAGAGATAGGCGTAACCATTCGAGATTGATCAACAAACAAATGTAAGAGATTAGGTAATTACAGAGGAACAAATCACATTCTTATTCTATCATTTAACAGTGTATAAGTATTTAAAAACTTAAATTACTAATTAACACATGACAGATTCCCGGAAGAGTGAATCAAAGAAAAACTTATTTACTTCTCTTTGTTAAGAGTAAAAAAAAAAAAATAGATCCATCAGTACCATACTAAACTGGCTTTTTCAAATTAAAAAAAAAAAAAAAAAAACTAAGGCGTGTGCTTTAGACCACATGATAGAAGTGAAACATCAACATCAACAAGGCGAGATTAATAATAATAATATTAAAGAATATATAAATAATAGCTCATTATAAAAAGGATAAAATACTGAACAATTTCTTTGCTTATAGTATGCAGGTGTGATTGTTTAATTTATGAGATATTTTAATCCATATTTTCAATAAAACTCGTTATCATTTGGTTTTCGGCACTATTTTTTCCTTTTTACATCCCTAATATGGCATTGCGTTAAGACATAGTTTTGAATAATAGCCCATTACAGAGAGGATGAAATTCCCTTGATTATAGATTGCAGGTCCAATTTTTAATTTTTGAGACATTTTAATCCATATGCAAAAACACTTCTATTTGTCGACTCCAGCTGACTTTACCAGAGTGTTACATATCAGAGATCTGACAGTTCAATCTAATTCACTCTCCAAAAAAAAAAAATGCAAAACGTGTCTTAAAGAAGTTTTCACTTCAAAAAATCCTACTGCCTTGAAAAATTGTACAACTCACTAAATCAAAAGCATGTAGAATTTCTAAATGAATATCTTGGGTACATCAGTGATGGCTTAGCTATTTGGATAAAAGACAATTCATTCAATTTCAATGTACTCAGTAAGATGGTTTATTGTATTATTAATTTAAAGAACAATAACTATTGTTAATTAATTAAAGTTTTTTTGTACTTCACTGGTACAGTAAATATTGCCAGCATGCTTGCAAATTTGATTTAGAAGTAAAATTCTTAGATATTAAAACTGTATAATTTATTTTCTTCAGTGATTTTAATTTCAGAATTGACTCTCTGACCTGAATTCCAGAGGAACTAATAGAAGGATCACTTTTTATATTAATACAAACTAGTAAGAATAAAGTTCTTTATGATAGAGAATCTGTTTTTAATCACATGGAATCAAGTAGTTTTGTATTACTAAATGGCAGAATTAATTCTGATAATTTGGTGAAATCTGTTTTTTTAAGCACCCATGAGAAAAAATTATTAATTTTTTTTTTCATATTTAAGGCAATTTTCTTCCAATTTTTTTGTCTTTACTTTCTTTTTTTGATGTGGCTAGTTAAAGTTTTATAAAAAACTTTATATAAGTTAAATAAAACTAAAAAATAAAGTTTTATTTCTTTTGTATAAAACTATGGATAGCCAGATGTTGATTAGTGTATCAATGAATATATAAAGATGTGTAACACCAAAAAATAGTTTTAAAAAATGTGACAAATATTTGAATTTTGACAAATGGTGCCACATCGAAAAAAGGAAGTAAAGATAAAGATTGCTCTGATGATGGGAAAATTGTCCCGAAACATAACAGACAACAAATGTAATGAAAAAGAAATTGAAGGAAATTGGAAGTATTATTACCTTTAATATGAAAGAACTATAAACGTAGGCTTCCTAATAAAAAAAGAAAAATAAGAAGTTAATTTATTTATTATTAATCGATCTAAAGCAGATCAAATTCATCATTGATTTTCTCATACTTGATTTCTCAATCAGATATCATTATAAACTTTATTACAAAGTAGGGAGGTGCAACCAAATCTAACCCGAGTAGAGTAATCGAGATTTATTTATTATTCCACAAATTAAATTTCAAACTGACCAAATCAGATTCGGACTTAGAACTTTAGTGAGACTCCAGAATGCCAAAGTTTACGCCGTAACACGCTCGACCAATATTTAACCTCATCCCTCAAGAGAGATTGGTTGCTGTTCTTTGGTACTTGAAGTGTGGATATACCTCTGAAAAATGGCATTCCATATCAGTGACATGGGTAGTATAATCTAATAAGAAATCGAACCTTCTTAATCAAGGCTTTAATAAGCAAAATGCATTACATTAAAGGTTATGAACAGTTAAAATAACTTATATTTTAATAATTAAATTTAACATGTGATAAAAGGCTATTTTCAATGCAATAGTTATCACCACATTATGCAAAGAGAGACTCCTCTTTGTTATTATTCTCCAATATTAAAGAGATGGTTGATTCATAATAATTTGAAATATAGAGGAAGTTAGGCTGCTACACAACCAACATCTATTTTTGACCTGAGAGGATTTGAAAAGTACAAAAATTTCTAGTTATAGAAATATTGAGAGATCAAAAAATGAATTTTTGACTGGGATTGAGCTAAATTTGGGTCACTATTAACTATTTCTAGCTGGGACAGACAAATCAATAGTTTGGCTCAGGAGGGCACAAACACACTCGGTAGAGCTGAGCCATGGCCCCTAAGGATCAGCTTATTAGGTTTTTGACATATTGAGTGACTAACGGAGAATACTGAACATCAGCGCAGTGCTGCTCGGCTAATCCGCTCTTGTCAATGATGGACTTAAAATAAACTAGAGGGATTGGAACGAGTTTTAGGAAAGTTTTATAAAAGTTCTACTAGACCATAAATGTGTTGGCTCAGAAATAAATTTATCTCACAGAAAATTATACTTCAGTAAGTCAGTATAAGAGGTGAATAAAATAAAAAATGCAAGAATTTGGTGGATTACCTTATGATTACAGAAACAAGAAACAAAAAAATGGAACTAAGTAAATAATTAAAATAAAAAAGTTTCATTACCTCATAGTCATCATCATATTTGTCCAAACACTTGCACAGCCAATCAACTTGGTTTTTAGGTAATTTAAAATTTCTCTCCCTGGGAGCTTTTGCTTCAGATTCTAAGTCCCTCACCACATGAGTTTTTTCAGGTATAACAGAGGTCTCAGGTTCAGTTTTCTTCGATTTTGGCTGGAAATGTAACTAATTATTATTTGGCACATAACCAGTATCAAAATGCATTTAAAAAAAAAATACCTTGTTACTAGGAATTTTAATACTCTTATTAGGGTCATAAACTAGACCCATCTGCTCTAAATTTGTTCTTGTGCTTTTCTTTTTGTCCCATTCAGTTTTCAGTTGATCACTAGAAAAAAAAAATTAATAGTCAAGACTAGTACGAGCAAGCTTCTAAACTCAGCACTGAACCCATGTATGGCATCAGATTTGTCTCTAAACTGGGTAAAATAAAAAAGTTAAATGTTCAATAGACTTTGTAAGTATTAGATAATACCATTGTATGTTTGGCAGTCGATTCATCTTCTTCCTCAAACGTTTCCTGTTTACATCGTACTTGTAAACTTTACGTTTCCTTTGTTTCCGAAGTTTAGTCATTGTCGTTAAATACAAATATTATGAAGATTATTGAGCGGTAGGTAACTAAGTACAGAGTAACAAAAACACGTGATAGGTAGGTTATGGTAACCTCCTAGCTAAAAACATATTATAACCTCTGGTGCAAGAAGCAAATTACCTTCCGTAGGGTTGTATACAAAACAAGAAGTTCTGCGCTTAGAGCGCAGTGCATTTCCCTGAATCACTAATTACAGGTTTTCATAGTTCAGTCTCATTACTTTAAAGATGGGGGAACCTAAATTCGAAGGAACTACAAAAGACGTATTGGAGTGGATTAAATTCAGAGAAGAGTTTGGAGGAACTATTGATGATTTAAAAATTGAAACTGGAACTGAAAAACTTGTCAGAAAGTTTAAAGAAAATCCACTAGTCCCTATTGGTAACTATAAAGATGTATTTTTAATTACCAACAAAAGTGAATAGGGACAGAGTTTGAGAATCTTCAAAGAATATCTCATTCTGGGATAAAAAAAGAGTTATTACACTCAATTTTTTTTTATTGGTCAGTAAAATCAATTATCTATTCTTGTTTTTGAAACTCTATTGTTCTTAATATTTAATTTTACTAATCATATTATCAGTATCTTGATATAAAATTTTATCTGATACTCTTATGAACTTGGTTAGTTACATTGTAATTGTGTTATAATTCAATATTTAATGAGCATATAGAATATATCATTTATTGATGATAATGAATACACTAATTGATTGTAACAATCTGGTAGGTAACGCACTTGTTACTTAATACAATGTAATTTATATGACATTAGCATCTCTACTCACATCATATATAGTGCCATGGAGGAATTGAATTATCAGCAATAATTAAGAAATTCATTAAATTCACAATACCTTGCTCCAGCTTTTAATTACAGAAAATAATTGATAACTGTTTCATTTTGTTCCTGGATAGTTCTTCGATATTTTATGGCTTCACTGTACTTATTTCTGGATTTAATGAAATGGGCAGTAAAGGCTTAACCTTAATTAATTAACACAAACTGAATCATTTATTGATGATAATGAAAACATTGATAATAATAAACTGATAGGTAATACCTGTCACCTAATACAATTTAGTATATATGAAAATAGTTGCAGTATTCATGGATTATGACTATTTGTATCTATAAAATAATGCTAATGATGTGTTTTGGAAGCTTGTAGCGATTACTTTCATAGATTTGTTTTTCATTTATGTATCCTTTATGCAGGTGCTTTAGCTACCACTGCTTGCCTCTCCTATGGTCTTTACTGTTTCCGTAGAGGTGAAAGAAGAATGTCACAGATAATGATGAGAGCTCGAGTTGCTGCTCAAGGATTTACTGTGTTAGCTATAGTAGGAGGGCTGCTGATAACGGCTAACAAAAAAAATAAATGATGACAGAATGCAATAAAAGTTGAATAGAATATTTTGTTTGTTATTTTTGTAATTATAGCTCTTCATCAAAATGTTAATTGATTATAGTAATGTATTTTATTAAAGTTGCTTTAAAATGGGTTTTGATTTTACTGAACCTGTTTCTACCTTAATTATTGATTTTTTAAAATTAATTTAAGTTATAAATAAATATTATTATTCAATATCAATCTTAGTTAAATTAAAATTTAAAATTACGTGAGGTTAAAAAATGATTATGAATCAAATAAGGTTCAAAAACAAATCTTGAAGGTCACAGATATATGCAACTAAATTAATATGATTAAAGTTAGTTTAAATTACATAACTAGTCATTCTTTCAAGTATTGTAAGTTTTTTTTGGTTTGATTTATTCTTTAATGACATGTAGGATATATGTTATATATTATAGGGAAAAAGTGTTGTGATCTCATCTTGTATGCTCTTTTCAAGAACTCTTGATTTTTGCAAAATGTTTTTTAGTTTATTCTATCCTTTGTTTTGAAGGACTTCTCATTCTCATTTATTATAGATAAATTTTTATGGAACTTTAGCGGGTATGTTGGAATTGTTGAGCTGTGATAAACAAATGGTTTTTAATTTCTTTCCTCAGTTGAAAGATCATAATGGTGCAAACTTTATATTGCCCCAATTTAGATTCAAATAATTAAATTTAATAATACACGACTTAGAGTGATCTTCAATCAAGAAGATAGTTAATGGCACAGAACTATGGCTGTAGTGTTCTTCATATAAAAAATGTAATATTCATCAATTTAATACTTACTGGGTCAAGGCCAGTACTCCAATTTATGCTAAGGTATCCTGTGGCAGACTATCAAAATAAAATTTCAAAGATTAATGTTATACTGAAAATTTTTATTCCAATGGATTCGCAAACTACTTCCCTGACCGATAGAACTCAAAATTATTTTAAAGATCTTATCAAAGGTGAAGCAGTTAATCAATTTGACGAAACAACTAAATAAAGAGGTTGTTTTGGTTTTATATTTTTTTTTTTTAATGGTTAAAAATAATATTAAATGTATCTTTGAGTTCGACTTATTCAATATTTACTCAAATAATGGGATACTATGAAATAAAACAGTTAAATTTTCATTTATGATTTATATTAGACATATTGCAAAGTAACGTGTAATAATTAATTAAAAATATTTTCTATTTTTCTATAGTCTGTATAAAAATTAGAAATAAATATAGTAAAAAAAAAATAATGAAAAATTAAATAAACGACATGATCAACAATTTTTAACTTATTTAAAATATACAAACCTATAATGGTGTTTAAATATGACACATGATATATTATTATACATAAACTATGTTAATAAAAAAAAAATTACATATGTATACATGAAGTTAAAACTATGTTAATTTATGTACAAAACCAAATGAAAACAAAATAAAATTAAGATAATATATCACAAACACTTCTAGTCAAGTGAAACATAAATATCATCATAATCATTAGTACCCTTCAGGGCCAGGTTCTTTTCGTTAGCCATATGCAGAAGAGCCATAAAAGCCAATGGAAAGCTTAGTTCGGCAGCTTCTTCCTTGGGAAGTTTATCAGGCAAAGATGAGTAAATTTCAGAAAATTTAACTGGTTTCTCGTGAGTTTCCTTTTTCTGCAAATAAAAAAATATACAATTTAAATATTGCTAAGAAAAAAATAACTAGGCAGGGCAATAAATTTTAATACAAATAGAGTATTGAAAATAAGATAGGAAGTATCTAAGGAGCAAACATATTCCACATGTTCCTAGAGAACAATACTTTTATATTTATATATATATATTGTAATGTCAACATTACATGGTATATAAATAGTGGCGCGAAAGTGGCAAGAACATGAACTACAGGGAAGAAGAGGGGGAAGCAAGCTCGTGTGACAGACTGGGATGGGCCGCCAAAAGGGATGGTGCTAGCGGCCAAGAGAAAATGTGACAAGCTGTCAAGTGAGAAGGTGGCAGCCAGCAAGTGGAGAAATTAGAAAAAGGAGTCCTAGCCGGTTCGAGTGTTGATAGAGGCCACTATTGAAGATTATTTTATGTTGGAAGAAAGAACATAGCAGAAATTAACTAAGTGGTACAGAAACATTAAGTGGACATTCGTAAGTAAGAAGAGATTATTTCGCTGGCAGGCGTAAACATTTGGGTGAGTGCTAACAATGCCATTTATGTTGACAGAGGGATAGAACCAAAAGTTTAGACCGGGACAAATTATTTGATAAAATATTTTAAATTATAAATAAGTGTAGTTAGTAATTAATGATTTAGTGTACATGGTATTTATTAAATGTTATGAGTGTTCAGTTGTCAGAACCCAACCTGAGATTAATGTTATATGTGTAAAATAAATAGTATATTAAAAAAGGAACTCGTTTGTTTTGATTTTTGTTGACAAAGGGAACGTTACAATATATATATATAAATATACAGAATTACTCTTAAGACTGTATACAGGTTACTGTCAGCTGTATAAACACCTCTTTTCTCAATTCCGGGTTCCCTATTTTGTTATTTTATAGATAGGTTTAATTTTTGAAATCAGTTAAGAATTGACTCCTTTGTTTCTTCTCTTTCAGCTGCCATGTGCAAAATGTAAAAATCGTATTATTTTGGCCATTTTTTCAGTTTATTTACTTTTCAACACCTGACTCAGTAAAACATACATTAAATTATTTTTTGAAAAACTACGGAAAAAACGTTGGAATTTTTGCACAAGGCAGGAGAAAGAGAAGAACCTAGGAGTCAATTCTTAACAATTATAATATTATATCTACCTACGAAATTTCAAAATAGGAAACTCCTGTATTGAGAAATTAAATCGTATATGATCACAAATTTGAAATGTGGGGAAAATTAATACCTGATACTATTAAGCTCTTCCACAGAAAAAAAAGTATTTTTATTAAGAAAATAAAACTAAATAATTAATATCTGAGCATTTTTACCGGTTGTCCTTCAAGTGCCATTGAATCCCATATTGTATTCTTCAAAAGTTTGACATCAATTCTTTTTTGTACTTTGGCATATTTAATTGCAATCTTGTTCACCTATGTAATAAAATCCAACAAAATAAGAACATTTAATTTAAAGCAAAAAAAAATTAAAAGTTACTAAATTTATACCAACCTTTGGGGGAGCAGGAAGAAGTTCAAAATTAGAGTTTAAAGCAGGGACATCATCTGTTCTCAAAGGAGAAACGGATTCTCTAACATCAGGTTCAAAGTCATCATTACAATGATCATCTAAATTATCATCTCCATCCTCCATTACTTGACTTACATCACCTGAGAAGTCATCTGGAGTCAGCTAGAAAATATTAAGCTAATTATTATGGTTTAAGAAAACAACACTAAAACGATGATTCATTACGTAAATGAAATATAACTAAAATTAAACAACAGTTTTATCTGTAATAAATTACCACTGTGTCTTCATCGTTTTCATTTAAAGTAGCACTGCATATAAGATTTGTTTTAGAATCTTTCTTAAGGAATAAGAGTTCTGTATTTTTAAGTAAGCTGAAAAAATAAAAATATTTGTACATGATCAAACTTAAGAAAGATCTATTAATTAACTAAATTATTAACATAAAGGATTTACAATTTCTCTCAAGGATTGGCAATTATTTTACATCTAATTAAAAATGTATAACTTAATGAAACTTATTTTTTGAAATATAGATGTATACACATATATTCTCAAAATAAATTCTAAAATGGAAATCCAAAAATTGTATATCAAATATTTTATTAATCAATATATTAAAAACAAATTGCATCATTTTTTATTCAATTCAGCAATAAAATATCTGGTGTCTCCCTCCACTCACACCACTTTCCTTATCGCTTTGGGAGCTAAGTACGACGATAAAAAAATTATCTTTCCTCATATTGTTCCTGTTATAATTTTTTTTTTTTGTTTTACTTTAAATTTTGGTTTTAAAAACAATTTAATCATGTACAGGGCTGCATATCCCGACAAGGTAGATGGCGTATGATCCTCTGCACCTCCCCATGCCCTTCCTAGATATTTTATAGTTCTCTTCTTAAAAACAGAAGAGGTGAAAGTGGAATTTAAGAAAACTTAATTCAAACACAATTACACTTCTTGTGGTCTGTTTCATATTTTCTCACTGGCCTCCAGCTTGAAACCTGTCATTTCAAAAATTTAAACTCCACTGAAATGTAGTCCCTTGAAAATTCAAAACCTGTCAAAATTTGTTCCTCTCTAAAATTTAGACAAAACCCTCATATAGGCACCCCTGATCATGATTCAAATAATCATAAGAAATGTTCAGAAAACATGTTATTTGAAAAACTAAAGAAAAGTGAACAGGCATGGTGACCAGCGCAAAACTTAGCCAATACTGGTCCGACTTTTTAAATAAATATTGTTTCGTAAAGAATTTAATTATCTTTCAAATAATGTTCTGAAAATGTGTTTTTATGAAACTTCAAAAATAAAATTAAAGGTTAGTCATTTTTAATTATCCATAATCACCCTAATTATGGTACTTATTGAGTTTATATTTGAATTTTCACTTGAACTTTTCTTTTACCTGAAAAGAGTTCTTTGTGTAAACATTATGTCTTGAGGAAATTTACAGCGGCTTTTGGACCAAGTTAACATCGTTTTTCTAGCAAGAGTGGATGAATCCACTTCAGCATATAATTTTTTTAGACCTTTAAAGCTATGATTATTAAAATCTATAAGAAAGTCTTTTTTAGCTGTTTTTTTAATTTTATCACCACTGGTCTTTGGTTCTTTGTCTCCATCTATAAAAAATGAATTAACTAATTAATAAAATATTATGCAAATTAATTTATGCTCAGAAATTAAAAATAAAAATTATAGGCATTAAAAATTATCAGTTGATCTGTTCAATAATAAAGTCACAAGTACTAACATATTTGATAAAAAATAAGTGTTTAAAATATATATTAGAAACCTACCTACACGGGTTTTATTACCCTTCCAGTGATATCATTATTTCATTAAACATTAAAATAGAAAAATAAATCAAACTTTAGGATAATTAAAAATGAAAATAATGTTTTACTTAAGATCTTGCTTAAAAAAAAAAACTGTAATCTCTTTGTTTGCTGATTATAGGCTTCTAATAAATATTCTCAATAATAGTTATTAATTGTTTCATACAGTGTTTGGTATTATATTCATGTCAATTTAGAGAAATAAACTATATAATATAAATATAATATATAGCTAGCAACTAGATAATAATGTTTTTGTTAGTATACATCTAATAGGAGGATCGGAAAGTAATGTTTCCGAGCATGTCACTATTCGATTGTCATTTGGCAGCTAATTGTTGACATCTATGTCAAGACAAAGGCTTTCTAAGGTTATAGTGACTTATGTAGTTGCAAATAATTAAATTAAAATTTTTTGTTTACAATTTTTGATGAAATGACCAGCCAAATACTATAGAGGTACATATCCGGCATTGCATGCTTTTTTCATTTCGCAAGGGTGGTAAAGTAACAGTTGCTACCAAAAATATTTACGATGTTTATTCAAATTGGTAAATGCCAAAAGTGATTTTTTAAGTTCAAATCCGGTAATCCTGATCTTTCCGACTCATATTGATTAGGAAGACTAACAATGTTAGACAATGACGTGTTACGGGTAGAAATCGAAGCAAATCCGAATTAGACAATCTACAAACTACCCAACAGTCGTAACCAACCTTGGTCGACAATCCAACAACGTTTTCAGCAGATTGGGAAACCACCTAATGCAACTTATTGGTTCAATGGCACAACACAGAAGTGTTTTTTGATTGCTTGATCAACGGAGATGAAAAATGGGTCCTGTATGATAATCCAAAATGCAAAAGGCAGTGGCTCTCTCCAAAATAATTGACAAAAAGTACTGCTAAGCCAGATTTAAACAACCAAAAACCACGTTTGTATCTTTGGAGGAAAATTCGTGCCATTGCTCATTTTGAAGGTCTGAAACCTGGACAAACTGTGGATGCAGACCTTTACAGTGAACAATTGGATCATGTAAATAAATCATCAATTTAAAAGTAGCCAGCGATTACTGGTTTTCTTGGTAACGGAATATTCTTATGCGATTGTCAACAGAAAAGGCGTTATACTGCAACACAAAAATGCAAGCTCGCACAGTGTAAGACAGACCCTAGAAAAAATTAATGAATTGGGGTGGGAGGTACTACCTCATCCACCATACTTGCACGATGTTGCACCATTGGGTTTCGATTTGTTGGGATCGTTTCAACACTTTCTAAGTGGCAAAAGATTTAACAATTAAAATGATGTCCAAAATGTCATTTCTAAATATTTTGCTCAAAAAATAATACTGCATTGAAAATTTGCTCACTAGTTTGCAAAAGGTTGTTGATAAAGAAGGTGATTCCATCAATGATTAAAAATAAAAATTTGTGTGAAATTTATGTGCTTGAATTTAATAAAAGAAAATTAAATTACTTTCCGGTCCCACTAATATAAACTTTTATAGAGTCTACTACCAATCATCCAAAGGTTGATTTGCAGCAACATAAATGAAAAAAAGAAATTTAAACAGTGAAACAAACAAAATCTAGCACCAGGGTTAAGACTAACATGTTACTAAATTTTATTTAATATTTAAATGTCTAACTTGCAAAAGAAAAAATTGAAGAGCGATTCAATCCATGTACTTTTTTGTAAGATTTTACAATCTTCTATAGTAGTAATGATATTGAAACTACATAGCAATTAATAAAACCATCTACTTTCTACTTCCACCATCTACTTTCTAAATACTACTTTCTTGACATCACGTTGATTTCATAACTATGTAGGGCAGTGTCCCATGGATGGCCGATGTAGGGAAAGTCGGTAGAAACTCCTTGGAAGTTCCTTCCGGCTAAGTTTGATGGGATCGCTGGCCAACAATAATAGGATTGAACGCTCTCCTCTCATAACTTTAAACCACAAAATAAGACATACAGTCTTCTGCATAATGTAGAAGGCTTATCATCCAGTTGGGGACTGCTTTAGAAGATTCATGATACAAGTATAAAATTAAGAATTTAGGTATATAGTCATGGAATATAAAGTTTGAAAACAACAGGTGGGTTACAATTGGTCGTAAACAAGGTTAACGGGTACAATTTAGATATTATGGCACTGCAAGAGGTAAATGTAAGGATTAGTATACTTTTAGAAACAAAAGAAATGAAAATTATTGTTTAGGTACCGTAATAAATTGCTTTCTGTTAAGAGGGATCTTTACTGATAGAATTTCGGTTGCATATTTCATCATTGGTTGTTGGTTTAAAATCAGTGTGTTAAATTTTACTGATAATATGGGAGCTGAAATATAAAAAGGTAAGATGATTATGACTACTAAGTTGTTATAAGAAAACACGAGTTTTTATTTAAGAAATGTAGTAAACAAAGACACGATAGACTTGAAAATGGCCCGGCCGGATAGGCTGAAACATCGTCATTCCAAAATAAGGATTGGAAATAAAAACATTTTGGTGAACTATTGGCATAGTGAAATATCCAATATAAATTATAAAACTGATAAATTAATTTGTTGTGAAATAATATGACTGGTTCTATAATTTTTTTTACATGAGCAATATCAGTGTAATTTGATTGTCTACAAAAATAATGCCACTATATTCTAAAGATAATTGAAAGTTAACAAAATATAAATTATAGTTGGCCTAAAAGAAAATATCTGTTATCTATTAAATAAAATTAATAATAATGGTTACTCTTTTAAGAGTGCTAAATTACTACTTTCATTACTAACTGAGCTAAAAATGTGGAAATAAGCTACATTTCCATAATCATAGATACCAGTGTTCCTAGAGATAAATTCAATTGAAGCTATCTAGAAAAAAAAATAAATATGTTGGTTTTTTTATCTAATACCTTTAACTCTTTTTATTGACCAGTGACTAGGACCAGCCCAGAAGTCTAAACGACTATTATCAAAAAATGAATAATCGTTAGATTTTGATGAGACCAGCTTAGCCATGTTGGGTGCAGAGAATGATTTGGGTTGATTTACTGACACCTGCCCTGATTTATGGCTATTCACGCTTAGCTCTGGCTCTGGTTCAGGAAGACATTCATCATCGTAGTCCATACCCCAGCCTCCTTCAGGTGCTGCACCATCATCACAATCTATATCTGGGTCATCTGTTATAATAATAAATTGTTTTTTATAATTCTGCTATAAATTTTGTAAATATAATCAATAAATTTTCAAATATTAAAAAAATTTGATTTTACCTGCATCGAGTCTAATGGAATCAGGAAGTTCTATCCTTGATGAAGGATCAAATGCTAAAGAAGAATTCATCAACTCTTCATTATTTTTTTCTCCTAATAAATTGAAATATTTATGAAGATCCTTATAATCTTTGATGAAGATGCAAGGATCAAGGCTTTCGAAATTTCCATTATAACGAGGTGCTAAAATTAACAAGTTTCAGAAAATTAGAATACTCAATTTTATAAATAAAAAATATTGTTTAATACATTGACTGCATATGATTATGATGTTAAACATAAAACAACTATGATTCATCTCCTTAGTTTCTTTACTTGTCATATTTGTGCAGCAATGATGGCATTTATTGTATATCAGTGTAAAATAAGTAAATACTTAGGGAAGAATTTTGCCATACATGAAGAAAAAAATAATTTGTTATAATATTGTGTGCATGAATATCTACCAGATGTGTCAGACAGAACTATGGCCTCGCCTGCCTATTATTCAACCTAGTCTTAAATGTATTACGTGATTCCGAGATACAACCTTCTGACACCACCTTCAACCGCCTCATTCAGGTACTCGGCTTCGCTGAAGACTTGGATATTGTCGCAAGATCCTTTGAGTCCTTGAGAGGAGCTTTTCTCAAGTTGATGAAGGCTGCATAGGATATGGAAATAAGTGTAAGCCAGGATAAGCCAAATATATAAGAGCAGGGCCTGGAGCAGAGACAGCGGATCGACAACCCATGGTGATGGGCCAATTTGTGTTCCTGAAGGTTGGCCAGTTTGAGTACCAGAGGTTAGTTGTGAGTTGTGAAAACGGGATCTCCATGGAAACTAGTCAGCTACTCATCATAGCCAACAGATTCTATTTTGGTCTCAGAAAGCGCCTGAGAAGTTCTTACCTCACCTTCCATACTAGGTGCCTCTAATACAAAACTCTTATAAGGCCTGTCCAAACGTAAGGATCAGAGACAGAGAAAATTGTTATATATTCGAGAGAAAGATCCTTCGATGAATTTATGAGCTAGGAAGGTTTTGAGAGCATTGGAGGCAGAGGAGGAACAGGAAAATTTACGAACTTTATGGCAAGGCTGATATAATGAGGTTTATCAGGTTGGGAAAACTGCGGTTTTCTGAGGAAGAAATAAAAACTGCTGGATGGGAGGCTCCACCGGGTGAGAGGAAGAGGAATACCACGACCCAGATGGGATGACACTATTGCCAGAGTTGCAACACAATATAGATTCGCCTAGTGAAGGCTTTTCAAGGAGGGCAAGAAGTCTGTGTGAGTGCATGCATAAAACCTTCCACAAGGAATGTTCTATTATATAAGCCTACTACGAGACCTTTCATTTTTAAAAACCCAGCCTATCCATATATATGCTTTTGATGATTAGTACATACAATAAGAAAAGTTTTAATAACATATACAATTTTTGGTGATTATTATGTGTTATAATTGAATCGGTTATTTCAGAAGCAACACATGTAAAAATTCAACTATTACAAAACTATTCAAAAAAGCTATTTTATAACAAAATTTTGAAAGATAAAAGCATACAAAAAATAAACAATGACACCATCAATCTCTACACGTTACTTATATAATATGTTTCCTTGCATTAAAAGATGTGTCTATGAACATGTATCCAAAACAAGTCTCAACTAAAAAGTATGCATCTAATGTATACTCTAGATAACCATTATATTTAGAACAAAACATTATATTTGAAAGATTACTATAAACACACATGAATTCCATAAGAACTTTGATTTGATGAAAATTTTGAGCAAAATATTTAATTTATTGATCATGATAACAAATTGTAACATTTGTTGAGCTGACCTAAATTATCAGGAATTCAGAGCTCTATAGACTACACTACACTAAGTGGCATAGACCTGTTCTTCATAAATAAATTAGAATGAAAGATGAAAAATAAAAAAGTTTTAAAATTTACATTTTTTTATTTCTAAGAAAATTTTTATTTGTGTTTTAGTAACATTAAAAAAAAAATTTAATGGAGTAGCACCAACTCCAAAACCATTATATCATTAAATAAAGAGTGTTTCAATCAAAATAAATAAAAAAGAATTCATATAGAAACATTAAAATTCATTTGTTTGTTAAAAAAAAAATTAATGAAGTTTAAAATTTATAATAATCTCGGTTGTGAAATAATATGAAAATTCATCACATCACATAGTGTCAAAACACATTAGACATTCACAATAAACTAAAATGCAGAATAAAAACTTACCATTTAAAAATAACGTGTTACTATTTTGATCAATTTCATAATTTGAAAAAATTGGAGGATTAAAAGAAATCCTGCAATCCACTTCTTGAACAGGACAATCCAAGAAGTAATCAATGCCAACAGGAAGAGTTGGTTTTTCCTGAGGTGGATTTTCTGCTTTTTTCTTTTCTAAACTATTTTCTGGCATTAGCATCTAAATGAAAAATTCAATTACTGGTCTTACTAATTAATTAAATATTGTTTTCTATACAGTGAACTTTCCAGAAAACAGAATCTGTTTTCTTTAGAAATATAAATGGTGATAGAATGAACTTCTACAAAGTAAAATAAAATCATGTTTGATCACAAAAACATTGGAGGCACATAAACTATTTAGACAATGAATAAAACATAAGACATTGTGGTCTAAAGAAAGAATAACTGTTAAAATAAACAGTAATAATAAATTAGCAAAAGAAAGAATAACTTAATGCAATAACAGATTCGGTCCTGGAACTATCATAATTTGCCTCTTTAGACCACTTGCAAATGTCTTGGTTACTTATGCACTATTAATGTCAGAATTGATGGATATTTATTTTCTACCTTCTAACCATTTAATAAAATAAAACTATTTAAATAAATAAATACGTACAACTTTTCAATTGTTACTCCACTTTGATGGGTGGACATAGGATCTTATGATCACACTATAAATGGAATTCAGAAGGCATCTGAAAGTAGAAGGAGGTGACCTCTAAGTTCTGTTAAAGAAACTGACTCATCTTTTTATGCTACCTCAACTGAAAAGAATTTGTTGGGGACTTGTTTATCGTCTTTGAGCGAACAGAATTCCAAATCAGTAATTAAATGAAGATAGATTATACCTATGAACATGTCAATACTCTGTCATTCTCATAATTCCATTTATAGTGTGATCATGAGATCTTGTGCCCATTCATCAAAGTGGAACAACACTAATGAAGTAGTACAAAAAAAATGCAGCAATAAAGCATTCTGCTTCGCATACAACCGACCTCAAGAAAATAGAGATGAGTAAGAGCAATTTTTTTTATCTCTGAAATCTAGTCAGTTGGCTAAAAAAATCCATTAAACAAGTAGTGATCTAATCACTCAAAAGAGAGTATAGAACTATTAGAAATTTCAAGGAACTTTGATTGAATAAAAAATAATATTATATTAATAATAAAGTCAATTAATATAAGAAAAGTAATTTATATTACTTGCAGCTTGGGAAAACTCCCACCATCAATATTTAAAAAATCAGAAAAATACATCAGCCCTGGTATTAATGGTAAACAAATCATGGAGATCCATGAAACATTCAATTCACGCATTACTGGCAGTATTTAAAAATGAACACAACCTAAGAAATACTTGACCAAAATGAAATTGAAGAGTGGTTAAAAAATTATGAACTGGCTTACAAAGCACTGTCCTTCCTTTTTTTTTTTTTTATTTGTTCTTTCCTTCCTCACCTTTTTGGTTATGCAGGTCTTCTCCCAGGCCAGGGGATTAATGTCAGAGTTGAAAACCCCCCAAAAAACTTTGATACATGATATTTATTGTTACATCAGTAGAAAATGTTGAGATTAATGAGAATAACAAACCATTAACAATCCCATTAGATAGACCATTCCCTCGAATGCACTGGTCAAAAGCCGGTGCCATGTTGAGAATTACATAGATCTATCTATTAACTTTTGATATCAAAGACAATTATAAGATTAAATTTAAAACATTATAATTATTATTGTACTTAAAAAAAAATGTTACAATTATCAATTTTTAATAATCATGAGTAAAATAAATTATACACAAATTATTTTTGTTTTCTTCAAATAAAAATTAATATTCAAGATAAAATAATTTAATTTTTAAGTAATGAAAAATTAAGTTTAAAATCTTAAAATAATTAGCCTAGAAATACTATATATATTACCTTATCTAAATTAAACTTTTTAAGGTTAATATCATGGTCATCCTCTAATGAATCTGATGAGTCTTTCCTCCTTCGCCTTTTTGGAGTACCGTCATTTTCTTCTTTCAGATCATTTAATGCGTCCTCTTCATTAACTTCATCACTATCCTCTTTCTCAACTTCCAATTCTTTTCCTGATACAATTTTAACCATATCAGTATATACCTTATCCACCCTATGAGCATAAATCTTTGCACTTGCCCCTAATGTACAACCCATTAACTGAAATAAAATAATGAACCATTAAAAACAAGAAAATCGATATATGAATGAATCCAGTTCAAAAATGAAATAGATCAATATTATCAAAAATAAATTGAGGATGCTCACTGTTAAATTTTCTGTTTTTGAAGGTTGTTTCATACAAATAATCTTCATGTAGTCAATCAATTGTAGCTTGAATGCATTTTTGACATTAACTTTCTGCAAAAATTACTATAATGAGTAACAAGCAGATAAATCATAAATTTAAAATTCATTTGATATACTAAATAAGAATGTCATGCTAGAGACCTGTTGGAAGTCGGAAACTGGAAAGTGCCCGCACAGAATATAGAAATTTGGCGGAAGCTCATTGAGGAGGCCAGGACCCACTGAGGGTTGTAGAGCCATTAAGTTAGATAGATAAATAAAAATGTCATAGACAGAAAAGTGATTAAAAGGAATTTAATAACCCAAACTCAATTTTCACAATAATGGCTTTAATACCTAAACATTTCCAAATTCAGTAATTAATAGCTTCAGCCATTTTTCAACTAGTTTACATTCTTAAATACAAAATTTACAGAAGCTTAAAAAGGAGTACTTCATACAATCAAAGCTGATTAACATGGAGTTAAACTATTAATTGGTTATAAAAGTCACTGAACATAGATTTGCTGGCCTCATATGGAAGAGTTAAACATTATAAAATATAATCTTTAACTGTTATAATATTACATTGATAAAAGTGCAAACTTTTTTTAAAAGATAATGATAGTGAGTAAAAAGAAAAATATTTGTGCTATACATTTTGATTACAGAGCTGGATACACTTTGAATAATGTTCATCTAATTCTGCTTGAGTAAGATTATTTAAAATATTAATGCCTGTTTTTTTTATTTCAGCATCTTTCTTCACTTTTTCTTTCTCCGCCTTTTCCTTTTCCTTTCTTTCTCTTTTTTCCTTTTCATCATCCTATGAAAATTAAATTAATAATTAAGTTCATAATCAATAATAAAGTTCTAAATTAATAATACAATTCTAAATGAATAATAAATAATTAAGATCTACTTATAATATAAATTAGTACATAAACACAAAAAATATGAGTAAAAAATAACATTAAAAGTAAGAAATATGTTTGAATCGCAATCTAAACAGAATAATTTAGTTAAGTTAAATAACAAAGCAATAGAGAAAGCGCATGCATTATATAAATGATATTTCAGATGGACTTTAATCAGTCTTTTCTTATACCCATTCTTCAAGCGTTATTGAAAATAGCAACACTACTCTTGGTAAGGAACTACATCTTTATGGAGACAAATACTCTTGATGAACTTAAACATTAATCGCCTGCAGGTTAAATATTGTATTTTATCATTTATAAATCAAATTTATTTCTGACCTACAATAAATGATGAAAGAAGTTATATATCTATTATACACACACATAATTATTAATTAAACATGAAACCTCTCTCCAATGAACAGCCCACTCTACTAACAATTCATAATTGCCTAAGCATGGAAAACTAAATCGTTGTTACCACGCAGTAACGCTTATAAAATTAGAAAATAACACATTTAATGGTTATAAGTTTTATTATAAATAGATCTGTGCATATCTTAAAATTATCAAATTTTAATTAATAAACACCATCGCCACATTAAATAAATTGTTTTTTATTATTTTTCAACTTAGTATGTCTGATCTAACAGAGGATTTAATCTGAAAAGTGGAATAGAAATGAACTTTTCAACACTATCACCTCTTTCTATTGCCTGCTATCCTCAGTAAACGCCTACAAGATCAGTCATGAATGACAATCACAAGACTGACAAGAATTACTTCAACATGATGGACCATACATGTATCAGTTAGACTGACGTCGTTTTAGCTCTACTGATGTTGAGATTAGTGGCAGTGTAGGACTGGTACATTGTCTATTAATATGTTTCATTAAAAAAGGCCATTATCCTGTATAGAATTGGACATCAAGAGAAAAGTGGAGGTATAATAATTAATTTCTTGTGCTCGAAAATTGGTTTGACAAAAGTTAGAAAAATATAAGCTCAACTAGTAAAAAAGATTATGAAAAAATTTTGCATAAATAATAAATATGTTGGGGAAAAAAAAATGGAAAAAGAACAAACGAATATCATACACATCAGTTAAAGATTAATTTTGTCTTCAAGTAAAATGTATATATTTTCCATTTTATTTTTAATTCATTGCCCAATTGATTTTTTAAATATATACATATATTCTTTTTTTTTTCTGTTGGCACTACAGACCATGAAGATCTTTGGCCACAAGATGTGGTCTCCTTACAGACGTGTGATACTTGCAGGAGCTCAGATAGCCTGGAGGGGGTCACCCAACCTCACGTTGCTACGAACCATGGTTTCCATGGTGCAGCAACAGGCCACCCGTAGCTCCATAGCTAATCTCTTTGGGGCCAATCTGGCAATGCCCTTCCCACCGACTTTCTCGGGTTCTAGGGCAGTGACAAATCGGTCTAGATCCATGGATTATGACTGCTCGGAGTCAACAGGCGCACGAGGATCTATATTCCTTTCCACGAAACAGACCGTCCATGGACCGAAACTCAGGGGGGCTATTAACGTCCTGGTAAACCGAATCCCGATTTAAGTACACGGGGTAGAGTCATCAGTCCTACGCCCGGTCGGTGTGAGTTGCCTCCAGTAGGCTGAAGGCCTCACATAACCCGCAGGGAGAGAGACTCTGGCAGCATGGCTTTCCCTGGTGGATAGTCACCCAAATTGGGAGGTCACCCATCCAAGTACTAATCACACTCAACGTTGCTTAACTATGATTACCTATTTCAGGCGCCTTAGCCCGTACAGCTACCCCAGCCCCCATATATATATATACATGAAGATCATTTATAAATACATAAACTAGGGATATGAAAAACTGTCATTTTAAATGAAAATCAAAAATGTGCATTGGTTGCAAGACCTAAGTTAACTAAGCAATATAGTAGTTAGGTTTGTCTCCTCACCTTTTTTACATCAGTCTTTGAAAATCGTGATTGATTAAAGCTTTGATTTTAGAATTTATGGAAATCCGTCAGACCGATCCATTAGTACATCAATCTTGACCTTACACGATTAATCAAATAAGTGATAATGATTGATATCCACTAAAAATACTATCAATAGGATTGTCATTGAGTGATATTTATATTACTACTATTATCATCTTACTGAAAATGGCATTGCGAGAACATTAATATATACTTTTGTCAATTTCCATATGATTCTTTTCAGTTAAAATTGGAGCCTTCATTTTCTTTATTTACACCACTGCTTTCAAAAGCGACAAATAAATCCACAATATATCCTTTTAAATGAAGATTACGGCATTACCAAACGATTCATTCCGTCTATTTTCAGACATACTAGGCTGTTCTCAGAATTTTATTTATAGTGATGATGAGATCTTGTACCTACCTAACAAATTGGAACAACACTTGTAAATCATTACAGGTGATCAAAAATCAGGATGCAGTCATTTTAAGATTTATATTGTTGCGGATGTTTTAACCCAATAACGCGGATCATCATCAAGTCATTCTACCAGCACTGAAAGTATTCAAGTACTCATGTCATTGTAAATTAGTACCTCTTTCTCTACTTCCATTCCTTTCTTTGAGGTTTAATTATCCTTTTATTTAATCAATATTGGTACATTGATTGATAAAAAAATTTAAGAGAACAAATTATAACTACTTAAATGAGAAAATTTAATACATACTGCATCAATTATTGAATCATCATTATCCTTTATACATAATGATCTTTTGCCAATAAATGATCGCCTTCCTACAACATCATTGATATCTCCAAATATAGTTTCTAAAATACTGTTGTGTGCTTCATCAAGCTCTGGTTCAGAATTTTCTTTTCCATTCTGTTTCTTCTTTGCATTTTTACGAGGTACTAAAGCTTTTGCCATTTTTTTGTGTATTAAATTAAAATGTTTCAAAATTGACCACTATAGAAGGAAGAATAAAAAATGAGTTAGTATTTTTATTATTTTTTAATCAGTATTTCTTCATATTATTTATGTAAACTGATTAATAAATATCTTGTAACTTACTTTTCAACTCCAAATCTGAATTATTTTAAACACTGATCTTTAACAAATAAAATAATAGATTATAAATAAAACTTGTATGAGTCCTATTCTTATCACACAATATTACAATCCAAACTTTCTTAAATAATTTATGACAATTATTAACCTTCATCAACAAACTCTTGGCGCCATAATTACGTCATATTGAGACCAAAGAGAAAATGGAAATAGAACATGAAAGTTGTTTACTCTTTCAACGAGAATATTTTTTAAATAATTATTATTTGAAATTTCATTTTACACGCTATTAATAAAATGAATCGCTCCAATGAAACAATCTGATAGTTCGCGGTAATTATAATTCTTTGTTATTTACTCATAATTTTTATAAGACATCGTGAAATAAAATTTGTGCATCCGACAGTTAGCAAGTCGAAATTATGTTAATTAAAAATTTTATTACCAATAGTACTATGTGATAATAGTAGTTTTATGATAGGAAGTATTTAGGCATACTTTGTTAGATGCAGGTTCAATTCATTACAATGAATGTTTGTTACTACTTCACAAGATGGATGAGCATAAGATCACATGTCACATTATAAATGGAATTACGAGAATGACCGTGTATTGACAACATGTTTACGAGCATAACTTTCCTTTATTTAGATTCACAATCTACGGCTTTCGAAAACTTCCAACGCTCAGAATGGATGAAAAAATCTTCAATGGATCCTTTACATTTGAAAAAGATGCCTTATCTGATGATAAGGTCACATTCGTCTATTGTTTGAGAAACTCAATTATTCTTGAAATCCAATCAACAAGGTTATCTTGTTCCCAACCACACATCCATGTCTGGCAACACTTATGAAATAGGACCACACTTTTTTTTTCTATTTTAAACACATAAGAAGTACACAAAAGATTATTGAAATTTATAAATAAATAAAAATATCCATTCTAACTAATGTGCTAAACATGATGTTTTGACTACCGAAAACATAATACCTGAACATCAGTTTGGATTTCATTTACACTACTCAACCATTCATCAGCTACACCGAGTGACAGATTACATTGCGACAACACTAGAGCACAAATTATATGCAACAGGAGTATTTCTGGATGTTGCTCAAGCGTTCGATAGAGTCTGGCACCAGGAACTTCTTTTCAGACTTAAGACTATATTCCCTCCAACCTACTATCTTATTCTTCAATCTTTTCTTTCTGACAGTTTTTTCTCTGTTTGCCAAGGTACAGAACTATCTACTATTAAAGCAGCCTTAGCAGGAGTGCCTCAGGGGTCAGTACTCGCTCCTCTGTTGTATATCATTTACACATATGATATTCCAGATCCTACCAATACTCTGACCGTGACTTACGCAGAGGATACAACAATCTTGACAAGACATCAAAATTCAACATACGCCTCACAGACTCTACAATATCACTTAAACAAATTCTACGACTGGTGCAAACTCTGGAAAATTCGACTCAATCAAGAAAAATCACTTTCACCCTTCGACGTGAAACTTGCCCTGCTATTTACCTTGACAATATCCAAATTCCTAAGACAAAGTTCAATATCTTGGACTAACCTTTGGCAGAAGAATGACACTAGGGGCTCACATATCAAAAACAAAACAAAAACTCTAAATCTAAGACTACGACTATTGTAATCACTCTTTGCAAGAAATTCGAAATCAAAACTTTGACAGAAATTGAATATGTATACTTACCTACTTAAGCCTATTTGGACCTACGCTTCACAGATGTATGGGAGAGAAAAAAAAGACTCACACACGTAAATTACAGACTTTTCAATCTAAAACTTTTAGGACTAATACCAAAGCTCCCTGGTACGTCAGTAACATTGCTCCACATAAAGACTTACAGATGCCAACAGTTGACGACCACATACTACAAAAGATTTCATAATAACTTACACGGACATACAAACTCATTGATTCGAAGCATGGCCACAACTAACATGCCCGATAGCACCCGAAGGAAGCTTAAAAGAAGCTGGATGAGGGATCTCCTCCGCTAACTATAAATATTACACTCAAGACAGGAAGGACACCGCTGGGTACTCCTCTCCCTCACGTCTATTCCAAGACCAATTTTCCACATCTTGACATCACACTCGCTGAATGTAAGAACTTCTGACAGGTGTGAGTTGAAGAATCGAGTTAAAAAAAACAACAAAAAAAAAAAAACATGATGTTTTAAATCTAAATAGTTTTATATATATATATATATATTATTGAGTGATAATACAATGTGCCTCATGAAGGGCAACAAGTATTAGTGGTACAAGAGTTCATTCATACAATATATACAAAGAACAAAACAGGAAGCAATTATAAATAATAATAAAAAAATATAAACAAGTGAACAAAAGTAATCTTCTTATACACATTCATACCTGTATTTACAATATCTACATTCGTCCAGGGAACTCCGAGCCAAGCTTTGTCCTCCACATTTTGGAAAAAAAGCAAGATTCAAAAGTTTCCAGTGCTTCTCTTCCAGCCGCGTCACTGGTATTAGAAGCCAGTGGAAAATGAAAAAGAGCACTGGAGCCACAGACGCTTAGGACTTGAGTGAAGTAGTCGACCTTTGCCAGGACTCCAAAAGAATATTTACAAAAGATCTCGGGGGTACTGCCGCTTTAATCTTCGAGGAGAATTATAGGAATGATCGTAGCTGAATAGGCATTGAGCTAGAGGGTTAGGATGAAGAATAAGATTCTGGTGGAAGTTTGTAAATCTGGATGAGATAACGTCAAGGAAATATGGGATGTTGAGGTCATGGTGTAAGGTCTTGTTTGTAACATAATAAGCATTGACTATTGGTCTGAGTAATTTGGATTGCTGGATTGATAGGTTTCCGTACGTTCTTGTAAATTAAAAATTTGTTTTCAATTGTAAGATGAAGTGTTCTGTTCAATAATCTGTATAACTGTCCGAATCATCGATTTAATTCTTGTCTTTTAAGTCTTTTTTGTGGATTCCAAGTCAGTCTTTTGTCTAAAAGGAAGCCAAGATACCAGTGAATGTTTGAGATAGGAAGTGGAATAGAGTTAAATAGGATTGGCGGACAGGAGCTGCGTCGGAATGTGAAGGTGACATGTTTACATTTTGATTCATTAATTTTGATGTGCCAATTGTACCACTGCTCAATCAGTGAGAGGTGTTTTTGTAGGTTAAGGGGTGCTATTTCGGGGTCTGAGTCTGGGTGGAACATTTGACCCTATCTGTGCTAATCGTGCCTATGAAGGAGTCCACTCACGTTATTAGGACCAAGGCGAGAGACCAAAGTTGCCCAGTTCTTATCATAAGCACTAGTGGATCCAGCCGGGGAGCGAGCGCCTCCCACCCTTGTATCAGTAGCAAACATTTTGGTCTATAGGATGAGGTATTATTAACAGGTTTACCTGATTTATGGAAGAGTTTAATTATGGAGTGTTTCCACATCAGTGGAAAATGGGTTGTGCGGAGGATAAAATTGTATAGGTAGGTAAGGAATATAATTGCTTTTTAGAGAAGTTGCCTAAGGATCTTAAGGGAAGTTATCAGATCGTATCCAGGAGATTTTCTAGGTTTTAGGTTTTTTATAAGGAAGTTGACCTCAGAGCGATTGACAGCTTTATGAGGCAAGGAGAGAGGAATCGGTGAGGAGAGGAATTCTTTAACTTCGGCGGTATTGGTGTTATGCAGTTCGGGATGGGGAGTGAATGTATTAGATAGATGTTTAACAAAATCCTATGCTCTTTTCTCCTCTAACGAAGCCCAGGAACCGTCATCACGGCGGAGAGGATGGGAAATGGAATGAAATTTAAGGATTTTTTTAGTTACCCTTCAGAGAGAGTTATCACATGTAGATTGTGTGGAAAGGTAGAAATTGTAGGATTGGGATCTAAAGTTGTTAGTTTATTTTTTAATTATTTGGAATAATAGTTATATGACTTCCAATCATCGGGATGCCTGGTACTTTGCTAGAGGTTCTAGAGCATCGTTTGGTCTGGATAAGGTCCAATAGGTCTTGATGTGTGGGATTTATTTTTCGGTGTTTTGGAAGTCAACATAGCTAGATGGCCTCATCATTGTGATACTCGTGCTGACCAGGTTTGCAGATAGTGTGTTCCTAGAGGTGCATAACTAAGGTTTCCCAAAGAAGAAGGGTAACATTTGACCCTATCAGTACTAATCGTGCCTATGAAGGATTCCCATCACATTATTAGGACCAAGGCGAGAGGCCAAAGTTGCCCAGTTCTTATCATAAGCACTAGTGGATCCAGCCGGGGAGCGAGCGCCTCCCACCCCTGTAAATTAGAAAAAAAAGCCCCCAAAAGTGGCTATTTAAAGAAAAGAGAAATATATCGAAAATTCATCCTTATTAAAAAAAACCAACTTCTTAAAAACATAAAATATCTAGTTACAGAAAATAATTAAAAAGTAAATGGTCAATTAAATAAATATTCATTCAAATGTAAAAAATAAATTAAGTAGTGTAAAAAATTATAATATAGAGTAACTTTTCTAGAATCTCGACATGTTGTGATGAAAAAAAAGTGTAACCTGCTCATTTCACTATGTTTACAGTTAGCATGGTTTAGTATATTCTATTTGTTTAATTTTGATTGCAATTCTTATCATGTCTAATTCTCACTTATTTATGACTTCGGGCTTTCCTAGAGCCCCTCTGAAAAATGGTATTGGTAGATATATATGCCAGCTCAAAAGAGTTACCATAAAATTTTGCAAAAATCATGGAGACAGTAGAGGAATCAGGTATACTACCTATGGATGTGATAACTTTAATGATTAAATTTCGTAAAACTAATTTGTTTTTAATATTTTTATGTTAAGAGAATTCATTGAAACAGAACTCGTTGATTTTTCAAGAAAAAATCCTGGTGTTGTTGTGTATGTGAAGACAAGAAGACATAGAGCACCATGTCTCAATGCTGAATATCGTAATATTATTTATCTAAAATATTTATATAACTTTATTAATCTATTACTAAGATCCATTACAGGAAAAGAATAGAATTTCGAAAATGGTCGAGTGTATTCAAAAGTAGATTGTGATGAACGAACTCTCTAATCAGGTCCCTACCTTAGCCAAAAAAGATCCGTTGAGGTTTTATTTATACATTCTGAGCGAGCGGAAATTGAAAATGCAGACCTAATTAAGTTAATTAGGCCCTATTTTTAACCGAAAAGAACTTGTTATAAGTTGTGATCGCGATCTACATGAAGGAGCTCATATACCTGAACATATCAGTATTGGGCTGTTCTTGGAATTTCATTTATTATGAGATTCTTACATATTCATTAAAGCTAAGGTACAGTGGTTCTGTAGTGACTAAAACTTAAATAAATTATAACTCTTATTTTTGTGTTGGTACTAGTTCACAAGAGTTCAGCACGGATTACGCGTGGTTCACAATCACTTCGATCACACTTGTTCATAGAATCCCGATAACAGCCGAATGTTGTCGTCTTTTATGACGTCAGCTATTGTCCCATAATACAATCCCTTTTCATGCTTTTTTGAAAAAAATACAACGTATTCCCTTTATGGAACTTCCTTATTAAAAAATTGTGTATTTACTAATTAGTTAATTATTAATTTTTATTATAACGGTTATTACTTTGAAAGAAAAAGAAAAAAATACATAAAATAATGTTTGAGTAGTTTCTTCAAGCCCTATTAAAAAAAAAGCTTTTAGTAATAACATTTTTATTGACACATGCTTACATTTAGTGGCTGTAAATACGCATATACTGTATATTATCTTTTATAACTGTGTATAAAAGATTTTTTATCATTTGGGTAATAAATAATTTTAAGTTATCTATTATCTTTTTTTTTGTTATTCGAGTTTTTCAAGAGAAGTTGGAATAGTTGAATTTATAATTTATTTTAGCAAGCCTTTTTTAGAATTGAGCTATCGTCTACCTAGTTTACATATTTTTTTAGATTTCTAATAATACGAGGGGCTATTTTCTAGCGGAAGGGGGCGCTTTGTATGCATATACTGTCTGATTTGTAATTATGATGTGTAATTATTGTTATTCGCAGTTATTTTTCTTGGTAATCCGAAAAAAAGGGATTATTGTAGGCTATGGTACAAAAAAAAAGTATTTATTTTCGAGAAAGGAATTAACGTATTTGGGAAACAACTGACGAAGAATATGTAATAATTCCAAGATAATGAATATTGGAAATCATCTATAAGAAAAATAATATCGTGAAATAGCAGCCAGAGATGTAATAATTAAAGATTTTTATGTATTACTATTTCTTTTTTACAGATCCATAATATATGTACAAGCTCAATTCAGGTTTCATGATGTGTTGCCTAAATGTAAATCTGCTCCTGCTATATAACTGAACATGGTTAAGGTTAAAGTATTTAAATGGCGTTAAAGTGCTTAAATTAGTTAAGGTTAAAGTACTTAAATGGCGGAAAAGTTAATAGTAACTGGCCAAGAGATCGGTCGCCTTCGTTCTCTTTCGGAGAAACACGAACGCATTCGGGATTCCAGGAACAAGTGTGATCGAAGTGATTGTGAACCATGCGTAATCAATGCGGAACTGTTGTGAACTAGTACCTTTGTGTTATTTTATTTGCTAAAATTTGAAATACCGAGTTTGTAGTAGATTCGTTGTAATCATGAAATTTTTTTTTGAAAAATGATCATTTAACACTGTAACGCCCAAGCCATTAGAGTGAAACTTTCTGTGCGGATCAAATTCTTTTTTTCTCTGAAAAGTTGTAATATACTATTAGTTTTAAAAATAATTTAATCACTCTGATTTTAAAAAAGCAGAACAGGTGTATTCGCCCACCATTGTCCATGGGGGATATTACAGTTTTGTTTTTTAAATTTGTATTTTCCTATATTTACCATTGTTAGTTATTTCTTATGTGCATATAATCATATTTAGATTATTTTTGGAAATTTAAACAAAAGCAATCTTGTTTGTGGATCTCAATACACCTGACATGGTCCCTGGTCGTTAAAGTTTTAACCACTTTATTATTTACATGATACGTTGCTACACAATCTACTACTAAACCTAATATAAATCACAAAGTACACAATTATATATTCCCCCCTTTCCCTTAGTTATATTTCAATATATATTAAAAAAAAAATATATCTTAATTTATCAGTTGAAGTTGTGAATGTTTTCTATTAGGACATGGAGAGTGACATCAACGCATATGACTCAAAACCTATTTGAATTTATATGATAGTTTATTGTTAAAATTTGATAATTATAACAAATTGAAAATTTTCTTATTTCTTAAAATTTTTATAAAATTTCTTAAGTTTTATTAATCAAATATTGATTATTGAAATACATTTTAGTAAGTAAAAAAATAATTAAATTGGATTCAAAATTATAAATGACACCACTTTCGGTTCACTTGTTCTAATCTTAAGCAAGGTAAACGTTTTAAGTTTTATTTTAAGAGGAAAAAAATACTACTCGAAAATAATTTATTTATGATATATTATAGGAGAAAATTTGTCGACTGTTCTACATATCATGGGTGATAAATGTTCAGTCATTATAAAGTTTTTATTAGTGCCAACGCTTCAATCCAAAGATGTGTGTCATCATCAGGGCTGAAATTTTTTAATATAATCAGAGACATAGTATTATACGACAGATAATGGTTAATAATAAAGATATAGTGATCGATGAAATAGACAAATGAAATATGTAAAAAGTTATAGAAACTGAAAATAATGTATATAATAAATTTATTAAAACATGTAATATTTTCTCTTACTAACTGTGTTTCGAGCACTGAATGTATTCAAGTACTGACTCTTTGGTAGGTAAGTAAAAGAGTCAGGGGAGGATTTCCCAGATGTGCTTTACATACATGAAAAAGGCGTATCTGGGAAATCCTACCCCAACCCTTTTACTTGCCTACCAAAGAGTCAGCACTAGGGCTAATTCTGCTATTTCCAGTGTAATCCAATTCCATTTACCCACATGGGATCCAGACGTGACACTTGTGAACTTGTATCAAATAATGATAAAAATGAATAATTAAATAGTAATAAGAAAATCACTTGAATCTGGTCAATATTTGGTTTTATGTCAGATACTTACGTTTTATAGAGCCATATAAATATACGTATGTATTATTTCCTTTTTCAGTTAATGGACAAAAAGAATATATTAACTGCCATAACTTTTCCAAAGATGAAGTTAACAAGTGGTTACACCTACTTCTTTCAAGATCAGGAAAAGAGGTCATGAGGTACAGGAAAATGTGGCATACAGATAACCCTTCTATACAAGGAATTTGGACTCCATTTACCTTCAAGGACCCAAAATTAAATGTTGCTTCTTTCCCATTGGTAAAATTAATTTTTTTATTTTTATTTTTTATATAGCTGTTTACAATTACAAATGTTATATATAGAAAAACATTTTGACCTCCTTTTTATTTTTATAACATACTAAAAATTAACATTATCTGGTTCAGTCTAATCATTGGGAGCCTGTTGGGTGAATCATGTTTTAATCAATAAATAATCCCTAGATAAAAGGGGGAGGAGAGAAACTTGTAATTGACTAATGCTCTTTAAAATGTTTTCATTTATTTCATATTTTCTGTAAAGTATTATATGATTATTAAATATAATTCTACCAACTATCTAATGCTTATAATAATAATACCTTGGTACCCTACTTAATTGGCACCTGTTTAAGTGTTTATTTGTAACACCCAGCAATAGATTAGGAACTATTGACCATTTCATTTAACTGAAGGTCTTACAGCGAATAACCATTTTAAATTCTAGACACTAATGTGGACTTCTCATACCAGGCTGAAATGACAAGAAACTGCTCCATGTTTACAGCTTCTTCAGCAATTAATAAACAAACGCTCTAAGCTACCAATTAATTATAAAAAAACTCATTTACATGACTATAGTAAGACCAATTTGGACATACAGAGTTGAGCTTTGGAGTTCCACTAAACCATCAAGTTTCTCTCATATATATAATCATTACAATCCAAAATTCTCAATGCTCCTTACTTCGTTACAAATATAATCATCCATAACGACCTTAATGTTTCGTGTATTTCCGACTATGCCCAATCCAGATACCTATTCTCCCATAAAAAACTTCAGAACCATCCTAATTCTCCCATTTCTAACCTTGCTTCTTCTTTGATATCTGATAATCCCCTAAGGAGTCTGAAAAAAAAACATGCTACCAATGGCTAGTTTCTGTACAAATCTTTTCGTGCCATTGTATTTTTCTGTGTCACATTTACTGGATGTATGGTCATATTTATAAATAGTAAATTTCATGAATCATAAAAAAAAAAAAAAATTACACAAACCTTATCTGAACACACAACTTCATTCAGTTGGTTGAAAACCATTGCTTTATGTGAAAAAATTTAAATTAAAGTGGAGAAAAAGTCCCAGCCTACTCGCATATTATGACTATATAAAGTTGCATTGAAAGTCCATTTAATTTTCTATAAATCTTGAAAAGCCATCTATCAAGGTGAATTCCCAATTAGGAACACATTCTTTATATCATATCAAAATTTTAGCCATCAGTTCTTCCATTAAATGAAACATCAAATTTACCCACTTTAATTTAAATTTTTGCAAATAAAATCATACTGAACAAGTACTATTGTCTAGTAGTAACAACATAAGTGTTAATAAATAAGAAAACTGGTTATAGTTAAAAATATTGGTACTAAAAAATTAATAATTGACAATGTAATGAGTGGTAAATAATATGTGGAGTAATTAGTAAAGTATGAAGTGGGTTAAATAAGGGATTGATGAAAATTATGGAAAATGTAATATTCTCACTGAAATAGTCACGTAGTTTTACCATGTGATTCGTCTTTTTTAATTTTCCACTTTATTAAACAAGTACTAGTATTGCTACTGCTACTGGTGGGTAGGAACTAGTCGATAAGTGGGAGTGTCAAGATCCATTTCCTTGTGATGCCGAGAAATAAATATTAACCGAGCATGGTGGAAATTGAACCCAACATACTCGACCATCACACCCTCTATTAAACAAGTAGCTCAATACTATACTCTTAAGTCCTAAGAGACATGAAATTTTTATCAATTAGCATGGGGAAATAAGTGTTAAGAACTCAAAGCAACAACACGGGGTTCTTAGATGTTTTGATCAATCACTGATGGAGTCAGACACATATTCAATACCATACTACGGACCATATCAGAGTCGAGTTTCCAGAACTTTCTCATGTCTTCAAATAAAAATGGTTCTTGTTATGGAAATAGATAAAAACAAATTAAATATAATTTATCATTTTTTTTTACAGAATGTCTACTGGGGACCACCCAATCCTAAGCCAACTGCTACAGAAATTGTCATGGAAATGTTTAGAAAACAGAAACTTGAAGATAACCAAACTGATGATATCACAATAAATGAAAAAGATAATGTAAAGTCAAGTCAAGGACAGTAGATTCTTATTTTGTTTGTTATGGTATATAATTTTTAGTTATTCTTTAGCTCATACAATAATTATATTTATTTAAGTTTTTTGTAAATAAACTCTATATTTTATTCAGTTCATATCCTGCTTTCATTTTATTTGTATAATGATGACTAAATCAATCCATCCATGCATCCATGTATGGCACAACATCCCGTTACCGAGACTGGGCCTCCTCCAAGAGCCTCCGCCAGTTGGCTCTGTCTTCTGCTGCAGCTCTCCAGTTCCGCACACCAAGCAGGGTTCTCGCATCATAGGCCACGTTGTCCAACCATCTCGTCCTCGGCCTTCCTACCCGTCTTACGAGGTGCAGCTCCTCCATCATTATTTTTTTTGGTATTTCAAGGGTGCTCATTCTGGCCACATGCCCTGCCCACCTTAGTCTGGCCAGTTTAATATACGTGACTACGTCGATGTCTGCATAGAGAGAACTGAGCTCCCTATTTTTTCTTTTCCTCCAGACATCACCCTCCTTTACTGGACCATAAATCCTTCTGAGGACTCCTCGCTCAAAGACACTCAGCTTCATCTCATCCCTTTTAGTCATCGTCCAAGCCTCTGAGCCATATGTCAAAACAGGCCGAACAAGGGTCTTGTATATGATCAGCTTGGTCTTCTTTGAGAGGTACCTACTTCTTAAGTGTCGGCCAAGTCCAAAGACACATCTATTGGCAGCCGTGATCCTTCTTTGTATTTCTTGAGCCATGTCATTCTTGCTATTAATTTCAGACCCAAGGTATACAAAACTTTTCACTCTCTCAAACTTAAAAGAACCTACCTCAAATGGAGAGTTCAGATCCACCTCACCGCCAACTCTCATATACTTAGTTTTCCTCTCGTTGACTTCTAGACCAAGTAGTCTTGCAGCTGCTTCAAGGCTTATAAACGCTTCTCTGAGAGCCCGTTCAGACCTACCTATTATGTCAATATCATCAGCAAAACCAAGAAGCTGTGTCAGGCGATTGAAGATTATATCTTTGGTCTGAATACCGGAATCTCTTACAGCTTTCTCCTCTGCCAAATTGAACAATAGACAGGCGAGGGCATCCCCTTGCCTAACCCCACTGCTCACTTTAAACTCTTCGGAGTCGTCAGAACCGACGCGTATTCTGCATCTCGAGCTGTCCATGGTCATCTTGATTAGGCGTACGAGCTTCTGAGGGATGCTTAGCTCCTCCAAGGCACAGTATAGTTGCGTTCTATCAACGCTGTCGTATGCTGCTTTAAAGTCCAGGAATAAATGGTGGGTGACTACCTTACGCTCCATAGTCTTTTCTAGGATCATCCTCAGAGAGAACAGTTGATCAGTCGTTGAGCGTCCTCTTCGAAATCCATGACTAAATCAATATTGAATTTTTCAAAAACTGTTTTTTAATACGATATCATTTTCTGTAAGATGTGCTAAGTGTTTTGGCTCCTGCTTCCCAATCTTATACTTGTCTAAGTTTATGTTTATTATCATCTATGTTAGCTACAAATTATCAGTGTTGAAATAATATAAATAAAATGACATTTTTATTGACTAAATCAATAAAAATGTCATTTTATTTATATTATTTCAACACTGATAATTTGTAGCTAACATAGATGATAATAAACATAAACTTAGACAAGTATAAGATTGGGAAGCAGGAGCCAAAACACTTAGCACATCTTACAGAAAATGATATCGTATTAAAAAACAGTTTTTGAAAAATTCAATATGTCATTGATAATTCTTCGAGATTTAGCTACATTAAAAATTCAATTCAAAATCTTTCTTAATAGTCCAATTTTGTCAGAAAATAATTCCTACTCAGATTAGAGTGGTAAGTGAAAGTTGTATGATGCAGATTTTCAACTTATGGTAACCATATATACTACTGATTATCTTACTTTTATATGTATATTATTATATATTTATTTTTAAAGGTTATCTCGTTTCGCTTTACCCTATAACTAAGAGTAAAACATCGGCACACATTAAAAAAAAATCCGGTGCACGGAACACACAACTTTCACTTACCGCTCTACTTTGAATAGAAATTATTTTCTGACAATGTTGGGCTATTATAAAATTTCTGAAGTGCATTTTAAACAGAGCTAAAGCTTAAAGCTTACAGATAACAAATCATTAGGACCATTGAAATTACAAAAACTCTTTATTATATCGATGGTAGACAATAAAAATCTAGTTACTTCATCTGCTTTTATAAACCACATAACTTCTCTGTCTGATGTATGTGTGCCTTTCAGCTGATAGAATGACTAGCTCCAATTTCATCATTTTTGAGTAATTTCATTTTAGTGATATTTCTAGTTTAAAAAGTTATATCTATATGAACAGTAAGTAGATTCCAGAGTAGGTGATTGCAGTGTTGAAATATAGAACTGTGAATAAAGGTATAAATTTTCAATAAATAGAGATTATTGAAATTGGAGTAAATTGCTCTGTCAACTGAAAGGCTAATATATGCCTAGAGAGATTTGAAAGTATATCTGAATATTTAAGCTATAAATGATTATGAGTTATAGGATTATTAGTTATAAAACTGTTTTTTTCCATTGTAAAGTTTACTAAAATGAAATTACGTGATTCCCATTGCCTGTCATGGATAGGTCAAAACTTATCACACTAATTGTAAGTGGATAATATTGGGATTTCACAAAGGGAAAATTAATTAAATTATTCACTAATTTAATTTTCTAAAAAGTGCACTTGATGATTTTTCGAAATAAACGGCCAGATACCTAATTATTTAAATATAATGTCTGCTCTAGAATTATTAAACTACAGTAAATGTATTTAAGGTTATAATCATATCCATGAAATATTTTAATATTTCATTTATTCTTTCACACAAGTATAATGAAATAGTATTTTGTCATTGCCTTTATTCGATGGATTTTAAATACTTAAAAAAAAAAAAAAAAAATTTAAGGTTTACATTTAGTAAGAAAATTTCCTTGGAAACATGTGATTTACGTTAAATAATGTTAGTTTTCAGAAATTATTATTTTTTTTTTCATCACTCTCCGTTACCTTGTACACCTTTATTTATTTGATATTATTTTTTCTAAAATTCTCCGCTTTCCAACGATACATTATACATATATCTTTTGATACATATACCTATTTGATACATACCTGCCATATACCATACCTATAGATACCTAGACATATACCTTTTGATTTAGACATACATATATGTCTGTTGTGCCAATAATGAATGAATGAATTTTGATTGGTATTTCCGGAGATTTGTTTTTAACCTGGATAAGCATTTTTCTTTTTTTTCCCAGTTTCCAATTTTCATATTTAGCCATTCTTTATAGTTACTGTTAATAAAAGAGAATCAATTTTTTTAAATAAACCTTATTAAAAGGTACTTTAGAGGAAGATGTATATGAACATTAGACATTTAAGCACTGTAAAGTGACATCAATGGGGATAAGACCTAAATGATATTAAAACCTCTTAATTATGCAATGATACCCCGAGTTTAATCAAAATCCTTAGTCGTTTTTAGAAAATTGTAAAAATGTGTTCCATCATTGATATAAAATGGCACTTCCTGTTAGCCGATGTTAAGGAAAAAGTTGCTGTAACATCTGAGTCATATACTTATCTTAAATACGTGATATAATTTCCGTAGGATTCTTAGTTTTTGAGCTATACTGTTCACATACATACACACAGAGACCATTTTGCAGCTCAATACAAAACGTGTATTTCCGTTGAAAACTCAGATTCGAAAATTTTCACGATTGCAATACTTACCTTTATTATATATTATTTATATAAGTAAGTGAGTGTAATAAGTTTTACAAATCAGTGTGTTTTGATCTTTGATCACACCTCCAACCAGGTTCTCCATGAATAATAAAATTTTAAGTCAACTATTAAGTATAAATAAGATATATGTGCACTAATGTGTTGTTTATTATCATACAATTATGGGTAAACAAGCATTTATTCAACTCATACATATGACCGATAACATTAATATATAAATAATAAACCCTTTAAAAAAAAACTTATATACATATATAAAAACACATAGGAACATAATTTCTTTAACAACTTATTTTTCATTAAAAACTTAATTAAAATACTGATTTGTTGAAACCTTCAATAACATTTTTTTCATCAGATAAAATATATGTTAACTTATAAATCTAGCTAAGACACATGACTTCCAAGAACCAGCAATTATAATAAATCATTTAATTAGACCATACAATAAACATTATAAAGATTAAAGTTCATTTGCTAGTAGTAATGATCACAAATATATTTTTTTTTAAAGTTATATCCTGAATCAATAACAGAATATTTCATGAGATATATTTCTTAAAACTTAACTGTTCTCTTTAAAGAGGACCATTCCCTGTAATCAGATGTAAGCCAGTTAAAATATTGAATGTTCAACTCACAAACAATGAAGGATTGGCAAAATTTGTTTTAGTTTTCTGAGATCTGTATTTACACATTTTAGGATCCAAACAAGTATTTTCTAAAAATATTTCATTACAAATGTTAACTTTCCCTAAGGACACCTTATTCTCCTAAACTGTTCTATGTCATCATTACTTTTCATTTTCTACAATCTGTTTAAGTTATCCCATAAATCCTCCCATAAGGGTTTCACAATCCATATTTCCGAAACATAGGTAATGGACTGGTCTTACCAAGGTTTTGTATGAATTCATTTTGAGGGTATTTTGAAAGAAATTGTGACCTAATACAAGATGATTACTAGTAAATATTATCCATGAAATAAACCTAACAACCATATAAACCATACAAAATTTGGACAAAAATTCACTTTATAAAATTATAGCTTGTTATCTGTTAATTGATGGGTAATTGCAGAACAGAATTATAAAATATTGAATGAAAGAGTTAATTAGAATAGTTACAGTAACTATGTAGCCCCACAAGCTGTTACTGAAGTGGTAATGAATGCTCCATTGGATTCCTAATACATATACATATGTGTCAGTTAAGCATAAGTGATGAGATTATAAAGACAGTTAAA